ACCCACAACGACCTCGCGAAGTGGCACGACACCATTAGGTGAAAATCGGTCTCCCCGTCTGCCTTGCACAGAACACACCACTGAGGTGACAAGCAAGTATTGGGTCTCTTCTTTTGGAGTAGATCACCAGTGTTGATTCTTTCTAGATAGGCTTCCCAACAAAAACTACCAACCCTAGGAGGTATAGCTCTGCACCAAACCTCACCAATAGGAAAAGGGGACAGGGTAGGACTGGTGGRCTGACTTAAGACTTTGAAGAAAGAAGCACAAGAGAAAATGCCATTGGGGTTAGGTGTCCAAATTCTAGAATCCGCCCTAGTGGGGTCCAAGACAACGTTATCAAGAATTGCAAGAAGACTCGAAATACAGTCGAAGACAACGCCTTACATGTTATGTTAATGTATTTTAATTTTAGACAATAGATTTTTTAAAACATTTATTTTAAAATTTAAGTTTTTATTATTTTTTTGTTGCATTTTTTGAAAATTTTGGCTTTTTTTTTTAATTTTCTGACTTTTTTTTTGTATTTTTGTGCCTTGCTTCAAAAAGGCATGTGCCTCGCCTTGCACTTTTAAAACACTATTTATAAGTTAAAAGTAATCAAGTTTTTTCTTTTTATTTTTCTTTCTTTTAAAGATAATGAGGTGGACTTGGATCCAATCTGAAATCCTACAGGATCCAAATCTGATCTGAGATCCCTACATCCCATCAGATTTTGGATTGGATTTGGATTTGAAGTTTCAATAGTCAGATTGGATTTGGATGTGATTGGATCCAATCCAAATCCAACCCGATTACAGCCCTAGTGGCATACATTATGCTTGCTTTTGAGAAAAGGACATGTCTTTCACTCTTTTGTTTCCTTCTCAATTTTTCTGTTGCATGCTTACCACTTAAAAGTATCATTGGTATAGAAAATACAAAAATTTCTTTGCAAAAGCATATTGAAAGACCCTTCATTTTTTTTTCTATCTCTACTTTCAAAATACAAGTCTGACACAGCTAACTTATGCATTTATTTGGATGGAATTTTGGAATTGTTCTGTTAAGGCTTGGTAACAGGTTTAGCACTTATTCCCAATGATTGATTGGCAGGTGCTCCCTGGTATTTGGGGCATCTATTATGCAGGATAGAGATCTTAGTGAGTACAGGCCATCTGAATCAAGCACAAGCAAGCATGTAAATTGCAGCCATGAGCTATGTGAATTGGGTCCAAATTGCAAAAGTCTGAAACAGCCCTGCCCATACATTGTTAACTACTACTCTGAAAATACATCAAGCTCTGGATTGCTGGTTGAGGACATATTATACTTGGCATCAAGCAATGACCATACATCTAAAAATTTGGTGCACGCTCCAGTCATTATAGGGTGTGCTCTGTTGGCTTCTATCTTCCATTTTGTGATTCCCATCTTTCTAACTGTATTACAGAATCTGGATAATAATCTTAACTGCTTGTTGTTCCTTAATTTTATGGAGATTATTGTTTTTGTTTTCTGTTATTTAATGCAGCTGTGGTAGGAAACAAAGTGGTGGTTATCTGGATGGGGTGGCTCCTGATGGTCTTCTGGGGTTGGGACTTGGAGACATCTCAGTGCCAAGTTTCCTTGCAAAGGCAGGACTCATTCGGAACTCTTTTTCTATGTGTTTTAATGAGGATGATTCAGGAAGAATATTCTTTGGAGACCAAGGTTTTGCTACCCAACAGTCAACTCCTTTTTTGCCATTGGATGGAAAATAGTATGTTTACCTGCCCTTTAATGGAGTTTTTTGTTGGATTATGAGTTTGCTTCTGTGTTTATCCTAGTTGGTTATCGGCTTTTGGCTATTTGCAACATGCTCAGGCTTTTGGTAATTAGCTTGTGATTTGGTTCAGTATCACCTATATGGTTGGAGTTCAGAGTTGTTGTATTGGTAATTCTTGTCTCAAGCAAACTAGCTTCCAAGCACAGATTGATAGTGGAACATCATTCACGTTTCTTCCAGATGAAGTTTATAAAAAAGTGACTGCTGAGGTTGTTATGTCTTTGATATCTTCACTCTTCAGTAGTTTCTTTTTTCTCTTCCCTTTTTTTACCTAAAACATTTATTGCTTTTGATGATAGTTTGAGAGGCAAGTTAATAGCACAAGGTTGAGCACTAAAGGCTTCCTTTGGGACTACTGCTATGAAGCAAGGTACATTTTGTAAACTAGTTAAAGAGATTTGGAATCTTACTTTGATATCCCTGTATTGACTACCATCTTTTCTTGTGGCACCAGCTCAGAAAGGTTGCTCAGTATTCCTTCTGTGGTTCTAATGTTCGCTCCAAACAACAGCTTTGTGGTTCGCAATCCCACTTTTCTCTTCTATGACAATCAGGTCTGTGATCTAAATGTCTAATCTTTGTTCACTTGAATGGATGAGTCAGAGTCCAAAGTGTAAGGATGCAAATGAACCTTAAAATATTAGGTTTGCAACTTCAGTTGGCCCAGCCTGAACCCAATCTTTTTTGTATGGGTAGACCTTGGATTTTTAGGCACCAGGCTGGGCCTAAAAGGTCGAACCTGACCCCAGCTTGGTTGAGGTCTCAGGTAGTGCAAGCCCAGCATGACCAAGCCTACTGACTTTATATAACATTATGTGTGCAGCTATAATTACACCATGTATGTGATATTTTGCCTGGGTTAACGTGCACATATACATACTGCATAAATTTTTCATCTTTTTCCTAATTTAAACAGGGCTCTAGGTAATGGAAAACTTGAAGGAACTGAACATGAGTAAGAAAACCCTCAAATCTGATCAACCTGCCCAGGCCTGGGCTATACCTGGATATTATATTTAGCTTGGGCTTGCTGGAAGAGATTTCTACCTGGGCTTGTGCTGGGCCTTGAGGTGGAGACTGACTCTTTGAGTTAGCCAGGATTGGTTGTAAGCCTTCCCTTCCAAGTATTCTTGCAGTAACAATGTAGAACAAAAAATTGGAAAATGGTATTCCATTCCAATATTAAATAGTTATAATTGGTTTTTGGTCCAGACTCGTGGTCTAATCTTCCTCTACCATTTACCCTCATGAGTTATACCTTTTTTATTTGATTTTTTGTCTTAAATTCTGTGTAGGTAATTCTGTAGTCTCTTCTAATTCTAAAGTTGTTTGCTTTTTTTTTGTCTTTTTTGTTGGGCCTTTTCTTCCTGATAATTAGCAATTTTATTGAAAAAGAAATGCTGTATATTATTAGGGTACAAAATCTGAAATATTGGGATGATGATGTAGTCAAGATTCCAAAGAATCTACTTTCCTTAGCTAGGCCAGGACTGTGTACCTGGGAAAAGAATTCCAAACCAGAAGGCAAGAACATTAGGGATATCAAAATGTACAATCAGAATCTCTTCTATATGATTTCAGAAACCCTTGATTTCTTAAATGTCATCAAATTTAAAAAAAAAAACCTCAACGCCTTTGGCACTCTTTAGTTTTAACTGTGCGATCTTTGTTTTCTGTACCCAACATATGATATATTTTTAAAGGTTGTTAGGTTTAAGTTAATTTATTTATGAAACATTGTTAGCCTATGGTGTTATATTGCAAGAGCTGCATCTTATTGTCTTAAATATCTGGTGATGACCTAGTTTCAAAATTCCAAAGCTTTACTTTCAGTATGAAATGATTTTTATTTTAGAAGTTTTTTTTTACAATAATAGACTTTATCATGCAGGGAGTCAGTAGATTTTGTTTAGCTATACAACGAGCAGAAGGCAATTTTGGGATTATAGGGCGTGAGTTCAATCAAACTAATTCCTCTGGAATGTTTGATCTTTTTTGCTGGATTGTCAACCCCCCCATTGGATTTTGAACAAAAGTATTTCTGATGCAGAGAATTTCATGATGGGTTATCGCATAGTATTTGATAGGGAGAACTTGAAGCTTGGTTGGTCACGTTCCAATTGTGAGTACTCGTGCTTTTGTTTCTTTCCTCTTCTAGAGTAATTTTGTGGGTTAGTTGGTGCTCAAGTGGGTACATTATTGGACCCAGAAAAATGACAAGGCGTCCTAACGTGTACCATGAAGGGAGAGTATTTTATTTCTTAATATAATCTGTTACTTTTCTCTCAATAAAAAAGGGAAATTAATTTATCAAAAAAAATAAAAAAGGGAAAGTAGAGGAACAATTTAATCACATCTTGCCAATGACCCAGTAGCTGAGATGGTCACTCGGTGGCCCTACCAAAATGGAGGCATGGGATTTCTGGGACTGCAGAACGCATAGTGCAAGCAAATAGCACTTAGAGGTTTCCATGACAGCCTCCTGGTGTTTCATGGCATTTCTTTTGTTGCTAAGCAGTTTTTGGGTCTGCAGAATGCTTAGTAAACTAACTACACTAATATACCTTCTGGTTGATTTCATGCAAAAATGGACATGTAAATGCCAACCCAGGAAATTAAAGGCTTTAACACTACGCGAAGTGAGGGCTACTTTCTGTGATCAATTCATGTTTTGATTATTTGCTGCCCCTTGGAACTGAAAGGTAATTTTTCATGCAGGTCAAGATCTCAGTGATGGTAAGGCAATGCCCCTCACACCACCTGCACATGACAGGCCTGAAAACCCATTGCCAACAAATGAACAGCAGAGCACTCCCACTGGGAGGGCAGTTGCTCCAGCTGTCGCTGGAAGGGCTCCCTCCAAACCCTCATCTGCCTCGCCACTGCTTAGCGCACCACATTTTCTCAGGATGAGGTTGCTGCCACTGCTACTATTGATATGCTTATTTCTTTCGGCCATCTAATCTGGACGGTTTTCTCTCGCATAGATCAATATATCCATCGATATCGTTTACACATGTAAATCCAGTCCTGTTAGTGTTTTTGATTTTGTCCAATGTAGTGTTTTTTTTTTTCTTCATTTTTTTGTGTCCAAGTGGCGATTTGATTGACTGGTGCTTGTAGGAAGTCTTTCTTCCCCTCCCCCCTTCCATTGGGGTTACATAATTTGTTTTTGTTTTCTTGTCATTCAATCTTTAATCATTAGTATAAATTAATGCAGTTGTTGTATAGTCTTGGTTGATCTTTCAGTTGCGAGCTTTAATGCCCAAGTGGTGAAAGCTACCACCGTCTTTTTCTGTGGCCTTATTACAATGATGTAATTGATTATTTGTACAGTCAAATACAAGGGAAAAGAAAAACAAAGCAGCCTTAGAAGTATGCCTACTGAATTAAGTCGCAGTGGAAAATGGTCCTTTGCGAATTAGATAGCAAAATTACTATTTACATCCATACGGTCCATGACCCTATTAGGACTTGGGAGGTTCATCATTCGTCAAACCATCCAACAACACCAACCATTATGACTTTTCATGAATTGGGCCATTTTTATGAGCTGGGCTGGCTCCCTCAAGATATCCCCTATTCACATGTTCTCAGAACAAGAAGTTTTCAGATTATCGAACAAGGTAAGACACTGCCATGGGATTCCCTCGTCTATTTTTTCCCAAGCTTGAACTATCGACTGTTAAATCTGTATAAACTATTAAATGAATCCATCCTTTCTCCCTCGCTAATCGTATAGCAGAAATTGTCAATAATCTGTTTAGGTTCAGTTTGGAAGGAGTGCAAATACAAATATATAGAGTGCAAAATCTTATATTTTGTATGCATTTGCATTGTACATATTTATATTTGTACTTCTTCCAAACTAAGCCTTAGTATTTGAAAAATCAAATAAAATATGGGTAAATTATTTAATCAGCTCCGGGTGTTTGCTGATAAATTATACAAATGTGCCCTGACATTAAGGCTCAGCTTGGAAAGAGTGATAAATACAAATTTATAGAAGTAAAATCTTGTATTTTATATGTATTTGCACCGTCTATATTTATATTTGTACTCTTTCTAAACTGAGCCTAAATGATGATGGACGGCACCTCTTTTTTTCAATTTTGCTCTGTTTTAACTTTATTTTTATTTTATGGGCTACATTGCATAATTAGTAGGTAAGAAATGATTTAAGCACTCGTAATTTGGCTGACCCATATAACAGGGAGATAAGGCTTTAGACAATGATGGTTCTAGCTAGGTCTAGGGACTACATTCCATAATTAGCAGGCTTTCTCGTGGCGTTCTTCTTTGTCCAATGTGTATTTTGTTAGGCATGTGATAGTAATTGGCTTGCTTTTGGGTCGAAAGAAAGAATCTGAACCGATTTCGGTCATCCAGTTCAAGCTGTAAGAGTGGACGTTGATGTGAACGGCTTGAACAAACCCCCAGCTAAGGTGGATCGGGGCGTCGGGCTAGGTAACCACAAGCCAGGTCGGTCAGCAGCAATCTAGAAGAACCTAGAATGGCCCCGCCCACAGAACAGAATTCATCATTTCCCCAACTTTAGTGAATGAATTATGGACGGGCAGTGGGCAAGGGACGGGAGCAATAATGTCAATTTGTTTAGGGTGGGTAGATGGTTTAGTAGCCAGTGGGTGACCCACTGCCCCTTCGCCTTCACCATGCATTAAAGCATTCTTCCCTGTATCAAACATATACAAATATTATTGAAGTTGGGCTGGCATTTTCTTTCCCTCTCCTGTCTCCTGTTGGTGTTAGAGGCTCTCAGCTCTTGCTTAGTACAAGAGGCAAGTAGATCAACTGAGTCAAACTCCTCTTCTTTTTGGCCTGTTAATAAATGGAAACTAAGAAAGTAGTACAAGTTTTTCTGGTAGTAATGAAAAATAATACATATGTGAAGTAAAGGACAAAATTGTGTTCAAAAAGCATCTATATAGAATACCAGTATAAAACTATTAGTTCGTTAATAAATTTGAGCCACACCCCACCACTCTTAACTTCAATGTTAGTTGGGCAATCATCTGGGTTTTTATATTTCTCAAATCAAATGTCTTACTTATTTGTAGGTTTTGTTTCATCCTCTCCACTTCAACGGTTGATCAGTAGGAAATATCTTCCTTAATTTGCAGCAGAAGGGTATGGTAGAATCCCTTGTATACTATCATCCAAGCCTTATGGCAGTATATTTTGATGGACTATTGTCTATTCTATTGAGCCAGTCCAGGTGGATACTGTTGAGAAAACAAAAAAAGAAAGTCTTTGACTGAAATTCCTAGCCCCCAATGACATTTTGGTTCATAAATTTGCCCACATAACCATTACAAATGTCTGGGACACAGACACAGTGCCTTCTGACCAGTCTAAGGGCCCATCATTACTTGGCAATGGCATTGGTCTTAATTAGGATTATCAATAAATTTTTCTGTATTTGGGAAAAAAAGGATTACCAGGATCTATTATTCAATTCAATGGGTTTCACTATGAACATTAATTGGGCTAAGTTCGGCTTTAATATTCTGATGGATGGTTAAAAATTTTATAGGGGTTTAGATTTAAAATCTTTGAAAGGTCTGAAAATGAAGTTCTTGAGTCTTGAAACTCTCTGGTGCAATACATCAATGAATATCTACAACTTAGTAAGGAACGTCACAGAGTGCAACCAGCAATCCAGTGGCCCAGGACGGCCAGACCAGAGCCAGTTATTTTTAACAATTATTCCATCAAAATCAATCTAATCATGAACTCTACATGATTTCCTCACCCAAAAAGATCATAATTTAAACTTTGATCCAGCTGTGCCAAAACAAACAGCCACGATAACAGCAGATGTGAGCTCCTAAAAGTAAATGCCAACAAATATCCAATCATACATCACGGTGTCAATGGATCGGTTTTGGATTGGACCCCGTCCAGTCCAAAATCAATTTGGATGGATTGGACGGATTAATAAGACATATAGGGTTGGACTAATTTAGTCCAAAATATTAATTAGATTAGATTGAACCTGATCTATCTATAATAAATTTATATTGAATTGGGTTGGATTATGCTAATATCTGGTCCATTAATATAAGATAAGAATATAGGTGTCAATGAATTAAGTTTACGTTGAAACCAATCTAAATCAAAACGAATTTGAACAATTTGAATGGCCCCGACATTGAATTGAATCAATCCAGAATGGTTCAAAATATTCATTAGACTGAATTGGACATAATCCATTTATAATGGATTCACATTGAACTGGATCAGATTGTACCAAATCCAGTTCAATTGACACCCCTAATACAACAATCCTCACTGTGAATGGATGTGAAAGCCGCTATCTAGACCTGGCCCAAAGGCCCATATTATAATAATAATAATAATAATAATAATAATAATAATAATAATAATAATWATTATTATTATTATTATTATTATTATTATTATTATTATTATTATTATTGAAAAATGCATAATGCTATAGAAAACAAGTATCTAGGAACCAGTTTTTTGTTATTAAGTTAATCCCATTGAAAGTTTTGAATTACCCATTATTCAGCTGCAATTAAATACATTAAGCTCCGTTTGAATATGGTGTGAAAATAAAATTACATGATGATGCAGTTGTACATCAATCTAGAACTGTTGTAAAATGGAAAGTAGGATTATCGATGTAAATATTTAAATCTTTGTATCCAAGTTGTAGTTAAATCGATACATGAATTGAATGAAATTACAGCCATCTCAGAAATCTAAAATCTGAAATTTAAAATTACAGTCACTTCCTAATTTACTAATAACTCCTTATAAACTGCATCTTGTTCGTGAATTTAATATGAATCCATGATTAGAATTCATTCCAAAGCTAAAATTTCTAAAAATAAACTGAACGGTTAAAACCCCTTTTATCTAATCACCGCAAAATCCAAACGAAATATTTAATTACACCGATCTATATTTACACTGCAAACAAACGCAATCTTTAAGTCAAATCATTTGTTGTCACAAGAATTAATCACAGTGGTATATCTGAGTCGGATGTGTGCATTGTGAAATCAGAAAGCTAAGCTAACTGGGTCATCATTGGTTTACTGATTCGACGACAGTCTAATTTAATTCCTTCTCCATTCAGACAATTTCTCTTTCTCTATTAACTTCTACATCCATTGTTCATAGGTTTGGAAGGAACCCAGAAATTCTAAGGATGGCTTTAGTGCCAGGTCAGGATTTTTAATATTCAGAACCAAAGTGTGAAGTAGAACAACTAATATACAAGCTTTGCGCCAGCTCCACCTCTCTCCGATAGACAAAAACGCGTCTGCGGCTTTCATTTCTTTATTTTCTTCCCTCCTTTCCGAGAGTCCCACCGCCCAATCAAAGCATAATCAAGCTCCAAAAAACTAATAAACCGACAACCAACTAGTAAACAAACACCCTTTCTGAACCGGTGCCAGCTCCTGTTAATCTCCATTGGAATTTTCTCGGCGCCAATCGCCCATGTCATCCAACAACCGCTCCGTTGCTACGATGCTTCAGGATCAATTGAAACGTGGCAACTAACGATGCCATCTAAATCCAGCTCACCCCATTTTCTTTTTATTAATGAAAACACAGCTCCTGCATTCATCATAATTTATCTGGGATTTTGAGACCAAGGTCTCCACCGGCAGGAATCGGGTTTCCTTCGCTTTACTCCTCTGTTTGTCGCTTTTCAAGGGGCCACCAGCTTTTGCTTTCTTTTCACCTGATAGACCTATATAAATTGTAAGGAAAGTCTATCTATGTAAACTGCATAGAAAGCTTAACGCTTCAGAAGAAGTAAAGCTGTTGAAGAACAGCCTTTAGATCCTTTTTGTTCCAAACATTGAAGGAATCCGCAGTTCACAAGGAAGCTTCCTGCAGTTTCTAAGAGAATTCGCATCGATACTTCGTATAAATCTACAACGGTACAACCCCATCTGCTGCTGTTGTAGTAATAGTAGTACTATTATCTCTTCTTCTCATTTCCTCCTTCACATCTTGCTTAGTTAGAACAGGCTATCAATCTGTAGTAGCTCTTCTCTTCTAATCACCTATTTACCTCTTTTCCTTTGCATTTCCGTCGCGATCGTTTGAAACAGAAAAGGGTCATCTGTGGTTCCGGAGCTTCTAGTACTTGCTTATTTAAGTGGGCATCGGTTCTTACTGTTGTCCCACTTCCAGAAAATTTTCTCATCCTCCTCTTCTAAAAAGATCAGAAAATAAAGAGCAAAAATGGGAGTTGGAGGTACGTTAGAATATTTCTCTGGTTTACTGAGTAGTGGGCATAAACAAAAGAAAAAGAAGCAGTTGCAGACTGTGGAGCTTAAAGTCAGGATGGACTGTGAGGGGTGTGAACTCAAAGTCAGAAAAGCCCTCTCTTCATTGAAAGGTACTTACTTATTCTTTGTTCTTTCTCTTCTTTCTCTCTATATTGTTTTAACTAGCTAATGATGGCTGATAGGTTTGAGTTGGCATTCTTGCCTTGTGCAGGGGTTAAATCAGTTGACATAAACATGAAACAGCAGAAGGCGACTGTGACTGGTTATGTGGATGCAAAGAAAGTATTGAAGAAGGCTCAGTCGACGGGAAAAAAGGCTGAGATTTGGCCATATGTTCCTTACAACCTTGTGGCCCATCCTTACACTGCTCAGGCTTATGACAAGAAGGCCCCTCCTGGCTATGTGAGGAATGTTGAGACCACTGCCACCAGCATGGTTCACACACAGGAAGAGAAGTACACTACAATCTTCAGTGATGAAAACCCAAACGCCTGCTCTATCATGTAGATGCAGAAAAAAGAAATTGTGAAGTTGTTGAAGCATTTCTCCACTCACCACTGTAAAAATCAAACTGGGTTTTTTCCTTGATGGTTGTATTTAGTGGAAAACACAGACATTAGGAGGAATAATGGGAGTAGTGATCAGGTTTTTTTGTTGAGTCGGTATTTCATGTTTGAAGCGCGCCTGTTGGCTGTTGCAAACCCAGAACTCTAGAAAGCTCTTTAATATATGAATATAGAAATATAGAATGGATTGTTGAGGCTTGAAGGCAGCTACAGAATCTCTACTTCATGTTTCTATTTTCTTTGGCGTGGCTCGTCTTGTCCATATCTGTGCCTCTCTCATGCCATGCATATATATAACTACATGGACGGCCTTACATAAATAAAAAAAAAAAAAAACAGTTAATAAAACAAACTTAAGGTGACAACTGATGGATTGGATGCTATGTTTAGCTAACATGGAGAGGCCACATTTAGCTAATAGATTTAGCCTTAGAGTGAGTACAGAAAGCGATTTATCTTAATGGAAATCAACTTTTATATTAAAAAAATTGCTTTACTGATCTTTCATTTGTTGGTGCTTATTTAGGTTTTCAGAATATAAGAATGAGAGAATCATCCATTGCAGGAAACGGTGGTAAATTCACATTTGACTTTAGTGGAAACTTTAGTAGCTGAGCATATTCATTTGGACATTAAACTTTATTTCCTTTATGATCTGGCTGATGAGAGGTCGAGACCCACCCGGGGGGGAGGGGAGTTCACCTTTTGAGATTTCACGGTGGACATCGCTTAAGCTAAAAGTTAACAAAATGAAAAGATTTTTGGTTGTTCGATCGCTCTGTAGGCTCCTCTGATGCATTAAATAAATTGTCACAGAACAAGTAAATAAATATAATAAGGCAACTTGAGATCAAAGGCCCTTCAAAAAAAGCGTTTTCTTTTCCAGCATGAGGAAGGTGCAAGTCTGATGGAGACTCAGACTTCAAAGACATTAGATGTACCATGGTTTTCAAAACCCGACCGGACGGTTGGATCGGAAAAACTGGGACCGGTTTCATTTTTTCTTAAAACTGGATTTTTATCAAAAAAACCGTTGATTTTGGTCAGCAAACCACTGACCTAGGCGGTTAATCGGTTTGAACGGTTTTTATTTTTATATTTTATCTTTTTTGTCAGAATGAATTGACCATTCGAATCAAATGATCAGACCATTTGACCTGAGAACCGGATCCCTAATCGGTTTGTTCTCTGGGTCGGTTTTAAAAACCTTGAGATGTACCTTTCATCAATCAAGTCCAGCCTGGGCTGGGAAATTTCACCCTTCATCAATGCAACTAATAATTATCAACTCAGCTCAGGTATTTCGTTTTCTGTAAGTGAGGGAAGTCTGGACTCTGGAAGCCTGGCCCGTTTTCGTCTAGGCCTGGGCCTATATTTATGGCATTGGCATGGGATGTGAGATGGCCATGCCTCGCCTTAGGTTAAATCAATGTTTTAAAATTTGACTCAGAATTGGATCCGCTTTGGCCATGGTTCTGGGTCAGTGGTTCAATCATTTAGTTCGAATAGATAAATCCATTCTAACTTAAAAATAAAAAATAAAATAATTAAAACCGTTATTGGGATAAAATTGGTCAACAGTACTGTCCGAATCAGTGGGTTATTAGTTTTAGTTGCCTGGATGATTCCTGGGCCAAATGATCTGACCATCTGGGTCAATAATGGTTTAAAAACACTGGATTAAACCCTTTTGTTAAGGTGTTAAGCCTGAAACTAGATGTGCTGCAAATAAAGTAGCGCACACAGACCAGACTAGGCAATATAGAGTCCATCGCGAGTGAACACACCAGAATTCCTGAGCGAACATGCCAGTATTTCAGGTTCCCATATACACATAACGCTGGCGCTTCCGCTCGTGATATGTTGCCCAGCCAGGAATGCATGATTTTGTCTCCAGCCCCATGATTTCCTCTAGAGTCTAGTCTGGGGTGGAGACCAAATGCTTGACACCTATTCACTGTTTCAACGAACAATAAGCTCTTAAACATTGACTACAAAAATCAGATGATCGCATTCATCAACAAAAGTGCCTCTCTCTCTCTCTCTCTCTGTGCGTGCGAATACAAGATTAGTGGTTTAGTACTAGATTAAACACCCAATCGCTGATAGTAGCTCATTACTGAAACAGGTTTTGAAAATTCAAGAATCAAAGAACCACGATGCTTTCTTTTTTTTTGGTCCAAATTGAAGCTAAAGATTAAGATATCAGTAGGGTGAAGGTGAAGAGAGAGAATTTTAATGAGCTTGGAATTTAAATTACCATCAATAATTCTTGATACAACAAATGCAACGGGGCGCTTTTGATAGCATTTTTACAATTGCATACGTCAGAGATGGTATGCTTTTTTTTTGGGGGTGGTAGAGGAAGAATCAATAAAGATGTACAGTATTCAACAAATGAAGGAGACCAGCCTTCCACACTACAAGCGAGATTTAAAATTGAAAAGTCTTGCCTTTGAAAGTAAATCGACTCTTGGCATTGATCTCTCCCATCAATCCATCCAATTGTTTCATTATAAATTGCTCAAGATGCCTCATTTCACTGGGGTAAAACTATGAATTCTTTAATACTGTGTGAAAAAGTAGGGAAAGGAAGGGAAATATAAGAAAACCTTTACAAACCTTGTACAAGTTTTCCTACGTTTCCTTTCCTTTCATTTTCCTACCTTTTCTTTCAAACCAAACATAGACAATAGAAAACTGAACTAAAGAAAAGATGAACAATAACTCCCAACCGGAGGGGCTTGTGATTGTGGCTGGGTTGGCTTGCCTTTCTAAGGGTTCATTTGGTTCGTAGTTGGAAATTTGGAATCAGAATCAAAATCCCTTGAAATCGAAATTGGAATGGTTTATTCTCATAGTTTGTTTGGTTCAGACAGGAATCGGAATCAAAATTGGAATAAGCTGGAATGGGATTTGATTCCCATGGGAGGGGAGGGAATGGCCATTCCCTCGAATGGGGGAAGGCCATTCCAGCAGGAATGGGAATGGGATTCCAATTCCGCCCAACCAAACAGTTGGAATCAGAATTACCCATTCTAGTTCTGATTCTAGACCCCTATCCTGCAAACCAAACAGTCCCTAATTAGTCCTATATACACTACTAAAACAATGAGTTCTTGATCAGCTATTATACAACCATGATTCCCATACTGTCATTTCTCAGTTATATGTAACCTCACTCATGCGAATGTGGTTATTGGGCCTACAGAAGGGCAAGGTTAAGGGATTAGAATGTGCAAATAAAACTTTATCGATTTCTATGTGAATGACATTATTGATCAATCTCATTATGTTGAAGGTAATAAAGAGAGTGCAGAAACTAAGAAGGCAAGTTTGAACAGGAAGTAGGAACTGCATTTAAACAGAAAATCGATACTATATATACATAAGGAATTAACTTGTTCATGCCGTACCGCACCAACAAAACAGATATCTCCACCTAATCAATTAGGATGATTAAGGATATCCACAGGGATGAATGCCTTCAGAGCTCCTGCAAGACAATCTTTTTCTAGCACCAGATCCCTGCTTGATCTAAATGACCTCCCTATAGCACCCGAACCGTCCATACTTCTTTTCTTTTTGGTTTTGTTCACACAAATCTGCACTTCCTTGCCATGTACCTTCAGCCTAGGTGATACTTCTTTTGGTCTAAACTTTCTAAAGATGGAAGATGTTTGATTAGCAACTGTTCATGGATGTAATAGTGAGGTAATTATTAAATGATGTAATATAATGAACCATAGATATTTTTGCAAAAGCATAAAACAAATTCTTGTCAGGAGATGGAACCTAACCAGGAGACCTTAGTCAAAGGGCTCAATCAAATGATCCAACAAACCATCCATTCAATCCATCTTTTTTGAGGGGCAGAAAATCTATTTAATGTTAAATGTGAAAAATGTTGGATAAATTGGCTGCCAAGATATCTTAAATGTGTCGAATGTTTAGACACAAAACCTCTCAAGGCAGGACCCACTGTATGAAGTGCCTTCCTGCTTGCATTTTGGACCATGTAAACCAAAAGGTCCTCATGGTCAATCCAGTAGCTAGTTGGAATTTCTCTTATAAATCATGGAGATGGGGGGTCATTTTCAGGAAAGGGGAAGTAAATAGAAGAGAAGCTCACCAGTGCACATCTGTCTTGACCTTCTAATCTTTTCAGCAACAGATAATCCATTGTTCCTTGAATTGATGTTTCACTTGTAAAGTCCAATAAAATTAATATCATAAACAAGAGTTGCATTGGCGGGTATGTTGCAGTCACCTATGCAATATATAGTCAAGGATGTTAGTATTTGTATTACCTCCATAACAGCATTTCTATTGTGTATTTTTTTTTTTTCAATTTCTTAATGTATGGTAGGTAATAGAGGAAATTTCAGACAAATTAAATAGTCATATTATCAAAACAACTAAAAAAAACATAGGATTCTTGGGTCCTACTTGGTCGTCCAATTTGATGTTTATCCTGCTTGTTACTGTGCTAGCTTCTTTGATAGGGATGACACCAGAACAATTGCAACAGCTAAAACCCAGTTTTAAGCAAACTTCAAGGTTTTGCAAGAATATTTCATTACATTTTATAAAATTCATGCTCCAATATGCCATCCAAGTATGTCTATGTCAAATTTTCTTTTTCTTTTTTTTACTTTTCTCTTTTTTGATAAAAGTCAATGTCAAGTTTGTAGTTTCTGCATATGGCATTATTTTGTCCAGTTCCAGACAGGTCATTAGGTTTTAAACTTGATTAATTAGTTACTATTACTATTTTTCTGGAACGTCACCTGAAAAGCATCCTGCAGGTTCGGGTCCATAAGCTAACTCTGGAGGAATCTGAAGCTTACGTTTTCCCCCTGTATAACAGTGCAAGATAGTCTAAGTGATACATTCCAAGTTTCCAACAACAATGGAGAAAACGTAAAAAGAACAAGTACAAGAAATCTAGAACTTGAATGATCATCATTCATCAATACAAAACATACCAACAAGCATTGGAGGAACACCTTCACCTCCTAAAATTCCCTGGTCCAATCCCTTGATAACCTATAGACAAATAGACTAGTTTAGTATCATGGGAATGTAGCAAAAGCACACACACACACACACACACAAAAAAAAAAAAAAATCTTTAAAGATGTAGATACTGAAGCATGTAACTGTATCAACAGGCTGCACGTCAAATGAGGTAAACATATGAGAAGACTGCTGGGAGTGTCATGTAAAATTTCTTATTGCCGTGAACTTAATTTTCATGATTTTACTATGTTTACCAAATAATGAATCTACCATCTACAGATTTTAAGTGGGTTGTGATCAGTCCAAAACTTAGCTAGGAAGTCCATTCAATTATTTTAGGACTAACTCAATTGAATCCTAAGTGATTTATATTTTGAAGCATAAAGAAGACAAACGTGGCACTGGCATAGTAAGGATAATTTTGAATGAACAAGAAATTGCAAAACTTATTTTCCTTGTATTCTCACATTGTCATTGAAGCTCTTGAACAATTTTCTTCAGAATCAGTACTATTTTTGCTTAATAATCACTATTATATATAAACAAGATTACAAGCATGAGGGAAACTAAAAAGATAATTACCCAGTGTTGGTCCATATTACCTTGCCAACACCAATGCGCATAGTGAGTGGTCTTGCACGTTTGTAACTGCTGTCAAAGACTGTCCCATCTGCAAATCTTGCAGTGTAGTGGATCTGTAAGACAAACATTGAAATAGATTCAATTTTATTTTGCACTCAACAGAACATAATGGCAAAACAGAATTCATGTAGCCGACCCCATATAGTGGGGATAAGGCTTAGATGATGATGATGATCTGTATGCTAAATTAGTTACTTTTTTATTGGAATAAAATAACTTATTGGAAGAAAAGGGAAAGTAGAAGAGCTCAGTCCCTAGAATAGTAGGCAAGGAATACAGAACCTCAGAGAAGAGCCAAAGAAAAACAAAAAACGAGAGGAACACAATAGTCAAAATTTCCCTGGAAGAGCCACTCTCCAATACAAACTACTAACCTCATCTCTCCCCTAGCATGACCACCAGCTATAAAGTTGGCTAACTTTATGATCAATTTGAATAAGATGCACACACGACAGGATAATTTCAAGGACATATGTCATCCTTGAAGCATATAACAAGTATTAACCTTTAGATGTAGTATTCTTACTGAAAATCTCTAATTCTTGGTGGTGTAGGACCAAGTATTTATCTTTAACAGGAAATCCTTGAGAATTAAGGAATTAGAGGATGGCAGTAAGGATCTTCTCCTTGGTCATTTAACAAGACACCATAGTAAAATCACTAGGATCGATAAAAATATCTTTGAGCAGGTCCAGTTAGATTCTCAAGGGAGTATAACCTATATCATATAGTAATCACTGATTCTGATAGAGTGGGAAGCCTGGGGATCATGCTGAAAAAGGTCCTCAAATGGATAGTCATTCTAGAATTCTAGTCAGCATAATCTCATCCAAGAATTTACTTGAATTATATTATAAATTCAATTTTTTGATTGACTTATAAATGTCTTCATAATATTCAGAAGCTTTGATTGAGTAAATACTTGATAGGGCCTGGTCCAAGCATCAAGCTTCTAAGTAGGACCAAATTGCAGAAAATGCCCTTATACTTGTATGCATCTCCAACAAGCCTATAGAAGATATAATCTAGCAACTCTGCAAGTAAGTTCCTCTTGACTAGTAGACTTAAAAAAGTAACAAGTCCATATTCTATAGTAGATTAGAATTCTAGAAGTTGACAAAATAAGTCCACAGCAGACATCCTTAAGTAACATCTTAAATGGTTCTATAATTTTAAATCCTTACAATCCCAAACATAGTTCTCTGGCAACTCAAATTCAAAGGGCATAGATATGTAATGTCCCTATCATATGAAACTTAACCCCAAAACAACCTCATATGATACAAATTCATACTCCTAGAAAATAAATTTAATTACACAGCAATTGGCAGAAACAGGTATATCATAACTTTGTATAGGAATAATAACCCCAAGCTCCTGAACCCAAAGAATGTCTTCACTTGCACACAATCAAAGCTCAGGATTCTATGATTCTATAATCATTTAACATCTCCACTCAGATCAAAGTGAACATACAACGCAACCTCATATCTTATTTCAGAGAGAGAGAAGGAAATGAAGAAAATTCCAATCAAGAGAAAATTCCAACTTCATTTGTATATCGGGCTTCAGCTTATTTCCAAGAACTAGTCTTGTCACCCAAATTCAATCTTAACAAATAATGCATGGGAACTACCGAACATCGAAAATTTGTGAAAAATACAAAACTACATGAGCAAAAAAAAAAAACAGAACAACATCATACACAACCAAAATTCAGATTGAATGTTCTAGTTTAATTTGCAAACCTAAATCTGCAATTGAAACATTTATTTACAATAACAAAATACAATTCCAAACGTCGAACATCTGAAATAATAATTCTCAAACGATAGTGAATAGTTTTAGCAACTCTATTTTTGAGGTTTAACTCCTATGTGAAATTCACGACAAAATTTAAGAAAGATTTTATGGAACAAGCTAAGATAACTAGATAAGGTACTGCAAACCTCAAATTTATCAAAATTTAGACCAGCCAAACTAGCACTGACGAACAGGGATTACGCATTTCCAGTACAAGCGGCAGCTCATGGTACCGCAACAATGGCAAGAGTAAACAAAGAGAACAAAATATACAACGAAGAGAAGAGAATAACGCAGTTCAGTTTCTAACTCACATTGACAAGCTCTCCCAGAGGAGCCTCGGGTCCAGTTCCTACAGAAACGTCGCAGAAACCAAGTCCAGACGGCGCGAAATTCAGCTCACAGGACGGTTCAGCAACAGTGGCGTAATACTCAATCCTGGTCGCGTTAGCATCCAATGGCGCAGAAAACACTATCGAGGCTGCTAGCAAGCCAAGACCCATGTCGAATATCCGCTTTTTAGTAGAAGATTTTGATTCCAGAGCCAGAGGGACCTCTGACACCCTACTGTGAGATGAAGAAGAAGCGATGCTTCTGAAGGCGGAAATGGGTTTAGATTTGAAGGTCTGGTGAAGGCTTGGCTTTGGAACCGGCGCTGCAACATTTAGTGCTGAAACCGCCATTGGTTTATCAGAGCTTGGATTCCTTCCTATCTGGATGAAGTTTTGTGGACTATCTACGTTCCTTCGTCAAATGCTTTAGCTCCATAGTCGGCCTTTCACGGTTTCACTTGCTCTTTCGTAGTTTCACCTTACCGGTAATCAGAATTTCCTAGTGATGGTGTATTGGGTTTAGCAAAGGTTGAGCTTCAGTTTGCTAACCTGGGCTTTGACCCATGATCTGAAGGCCCAAGCCCGTCCTGGCTCATGATTGAATACATAATTACATATACAAATATGGTTTGTTTTATTTTATATCAAATACTTTATAATATATATATATATATATTAAAGAGTTGGTATATGTAATTTGTTCCCAAGAGTTGTATATACTTTTTAATTTTTTATATCTGTATTTATATTTAATGAGATTTTAGATTTTTTGACTAAAATACCCTTTTTTTGTATTTGATCATCGCCATTTTGGGGTTAAAGAACGTAATTTCAATAATATCATCAAGTTCATTCAATTTCATCTCATTAAGTGACATTATCTCTCATTGAATCTTATATCTAATATATTTTGACTTTCATCATTAATTTCACTAATGAAATCAATACGTAATAATTTTAATAGTATGAAAACCTATTTTTTAAACCAACCCAAAAATAAAACCGTTTTTTTTTTCATCTAGGTGGTGGGTAAAATGGATCACCCCATGATGTTATAATTAAATATGAAAATCTTAAAATATATAAAAAGACAAAAAAAATACAACATATAAAGAAAAATTATAGAAGATTTTGGGTACATATTTGATATATAAATATATATATATATGATAAATATGAAAAATTTTTATTAAAGATGGAAATGAAATATAAAATATAAAATTATTTTAAAATGGAACCATTTTTATATTTAAGTCACAGTTCAATGGTCAAATCTTTTAGGTTAAATAAGTCAACCCATGATGTCATATTTAAGTAATAAATATATAAAAAAGGGACAAAACCACAAAAATACAAAGATTTTTTTAGAAAACATTTGGATGAATCAATGATGTTATAAAATACTTTCATTGATTATGAAAAATGGAATAAAAGTTTTAAAGTCAACCCAAAAGCAAGGTGGTTTTTCATTCAAGAATGGGTCAACTTGTTACGTGATAATTATTAAGTAATAAAAGTACATAAAATTCTATAAAATATGGAAATTTATAGAGAAATTTTGACACATCTCTAATATTGTATATTTGTCACATTAAAAAAAAGTGTGATAGATGATAATTATCTTTGTTAATGATGAAAATGGAATACAACAATTAGGAACAAACAAAAAGAAAATTTGTGTCCAATTCATAAGACCCAACTAATGAGATCAATTGGTTCAATGATTCAATTAGATGGACCACCATGTTGTTAACCAGGTAAGTGGTCTTATGTAAGCAAGTGGTTTAGTGGTTAATAGACCCAAAATCTTGGTTGGGTGACTATCGACCTACTTGATTAGTCAATTTGATCATGGGATAAACCAATATTTTCTAAAAATCAATTGGAATTGAATTTCTCTCATGAGCAAACAAATTAACTTGTGATATCATAAATAAATGATAACAATGAAAAATATAAAAGATATTATGAAATTCTTAAATAATTATTTATATTTAAGCGAAAGCTAAATAATAAAAACACATAAGAGTATACAATTGTTTTATACTTTTAACTTTTTAAATAGTTAATAATTATTTATATTTTACATACTACTTTTAATAAGTTTTTTACAATAATTAATTTCAGCTAGGGTTGTTCATCAAATTGATGAAACCAACCAACCCGACCAATTCAACCCGAGTTGGTCTGTTTTTTAGTATTTCCGGTTGACTTTGGTTCAACAATGTACCAACTTGAACAGGTTGGATCAGTTTCGCTTTGTCCATTTGTAAATCAACCAAAACCAAACAACCTGATCATATATATATTATATTTTTTAATATGGGAAAGTGGAAAGATTCCCATATTTCTTATTCTAAAATACTTTATATCATAATTTAATTTTTATATTTATTTTTTAATAATGCCACTATAATTTTTTAATTTAAATTTAGTTTTTTAAGTTTAAATCTTTTGAATCGGCCAACCAAACTGAAAATCAACCCAAACTGATACAACTTAGATGGTTGATTTCACTAATGTCAGTTGGTTTCGGGTTACCAACTCCCCAACTTAACCAAGTTGATTTGGTTGGCCAAACAACCTACAACTGAGCCAAATCAACCCGTAAACACTCCTAATTTTAGTTAAATTAATAGTCTAATCTCTAATAAATAACAATAGTTTATTTTTCAATAATTATTGAAAACTTATAGCAAAAATGCACAATTATTGAAAACATATTGATAATGAAAATACAATAAATACTAAAAAATATATTAAATTATCCAATAGATAGTTTAATCTCTAATAAATATTAATCAATGAATTATAACAAAAATACAATAAATACAATAAGTATAATAAATTAAATTTTAAATTTTAAATAATAGTAACTTAATCTCCAATAATTATTGAAAATGTTCTATTAAATAAGAAAACAAAAAAAAATTATACGTAATTATTGAAAATATATTTATCACAAAAAATAATAAATAATTATTGAAAACACAATAAATATTAATTTTAGTATAGATAATATATAATAAATATAGATTAAGACATCCGGTAATTTAGGAGAAAGTAGGGGGAGGTAGTTTTGGAGAAATTTTAGGAGATGATATTATTTAGGTGATTGAGAACGTGGGTGTGTGGGGGAGAGAGAGAGAGAGAGAGAGAGAGAGATTTTAGGTAATTTTTTATGAGGAAGGAGAGCATCACATTGGTTGTTTCATAAATGACATGGAATAAAAAAATAAAAAACTTAAAAAAGAAGAAAATTTCTAAACTACTATGTTTTAGTGTACACACACACACTTATTTGAAAAAAAGTGATCAATTACAAGTTAAAGGGGTTAGAAGAGTGAAGAGCTAGGGGCATACCAAAGGACTTGGGTGGAAGTAATAGGAATTGAGTTCGACTAAGATAATGGAAAGACTTATAACAAATCAACTAGTATCATAAAAGTTGTAGCCAATTAGCTAGTTGTTTATCATATGCACTAGGGGTTTTTTGATTGGTCAAAGCCCTTTCATTATCATGCCTTTCTTGGCAGCATAGATTTTTAAGCACCCATAGTTTAGCAATGGATATGGAAAGAAATATAATGGAATGGCAAAAGAATATTTATATAACAAACCCCATATAGCTAGTAAAAGGCTTAGAAAGAGTAATGATCATAGTAGAGAAAGTTTTTAAGAATGATCTTTATTAAAAAGAGTAATTATATTTTTACATGAGAAAATCAAGACCTAAAGTGGTTTTTATTATGCATTCTTATATTGTAATAATTTAATTTAAAATAAATAAACCACATATGCGAGATACAAGAGGAAGGTTAACATTGAGGTTAGAGAGATGGGTGATCATGGGCCAGGCCCAAATTGGTCTTATCACATGTGATAAGGGCTATATCCCAGGCCCCATGCCCAAAATGATCTTATATTTCCTATGACTTTTATAATATCTATATCTATATATACATGCATACATATATTCCGTTAGCATTCCATCACATCGTTCACATAACACCACGTGACATATAGATTTTTTTTTAAAAACCCAATATTACACTTTGTGGTTGGCTTTGCCCTCCTTTTATTATATAAATTTTCAAAATAAAACTCAACATCCACTTTGCGGACAAAAATATAGCCTTCAACCTTTACATGGTTGAAGGTCAAGAATAGAGAAAGGAGATTTGTGATAGAGATGAGTGCTATCTTGCTATCCATTTCATTGTACCCTTATGGAGATAATTATTGTTCAAATTTACTACCTTTGAATTTAATCGATCTTAAGTATAGAAAACATTTATGAAATAATAAGCAAGAAATTACCCAAAAAAATATAAAATAGAATCACCTTTAATCTCAAAATCTGTAAACAAACGAGGGCATAAGCATCCATCAAGTTCACCTCCTTGTAAGATTAGAATGCAAAACGGTAATTCTAACAATACAAATCTAATTTAATTCATGAGTACTAAAATAATCAAACTGAATGATAACTAAACACAAGTAACAATGAGAATCACTTTTCTTTTCTTTTTTTTTCTTTTTTGTCATGGCCCATAGAAAGATAGATAGATAGATACACTCACACAATTCTCTTTCAGTAAAATTTCCGTTTGAAGTTGCAAGGATTGACTTAGAAAAAATGTCTTCTTTACTAGAAACTTGGCAAGGAAAAAAACCAAGTCAGTAGTAATGGGGCCCATTATAGAATTGGCCGGCTTGTTGTGAGTAGTGAAACTAAAAAGGAAGAAGACAATTAATGATGGCAAAAAAACATGGTTGTTATGGATCTTAGTAATTTCCACTTGGGTCAAGATAACACAGACAGGGTTTTAGCGGTAGAAATTAAAGGGCATAAAAGTGGTTTGATGGGAATGGCAAAGAGGCAAGAAATACTTTTGATGCTTCTTTTTGGGTTATTTAAAAATATTTTAAATATAAAAAATGGATATTTGTGTTAATCTTCCGTTTAATTCAAGTTTAGTCAAATCTTCATGGTTTTTCTTGCCAAATTTTTTTGCAAGAGGCATAAGGAATCAATTCTTGAGAAATTTCTAGTTCATTAATTGGTTACAGGTCTATAGGACTCAATTGTACAAGTTGTTTGATGTTTAGAAGTTCAAGAGAGTTGAGATTAACCATAAAAAATAGGTTACAAGTCGATTTCTCTTCTTCATCTCAATAAAGTTTGTTATAGGCTAAATAGGATTAGAGAAGGATCATACCAGCTCATTGTTTTCTGTTGTAAGGATGGATGGATTGTCGGAAGTGGGGAGGTTGTTCTAGTTTTGGGGGGTTTCTCCTTAGAGAAGATGGAGAAGACCAACAAGTTGTGATTCAAATGTATTATTTTGAAAATTTAAAGAAGAATGATGGGTAAAATAGACTTTTCCATTTTCCATTAATGATTGATAATGACAAATGAAGTTAGTCAATTATTAGAAAACCTAGGGGTACTTTAAGACGATATATAAA